AAATCCTGGCTTCTGCTGGCTACTACCTAGGCTAGCGAACTACTCATGCAGTGCTATGGGTGCGCACCCATCGTCTGCACCCGAAGCCAATATAAACTTGATCAAAGGGTTCACACCCATGCGCCACTGAGGACAGGCGCTTGTGGCGTCAGGGTGCGCGCCTGATGCGGTAGGAGTTGTTACACTGTCAAAATATCTCAGGTGCGCTGAGATCGATGGAAGTTTATCACATACAGTGATATGAATGACCATGGTGGATTACCCAACCTAGGATCTAAAGGGGCTCCGTTGGAGACCACGAACGCCAGCTTATTACCTCATAACTCCGTCACCTTTTTGCGTTGGTTTATCTTCTTTACCTTTCGAGACTTGCGTGTTGTTCGTGGTTTTAACTATTTCAATCAGTTTCTAGGTAAAATATACATGTGGTCCATCTATAAACGGTGGTGGTACAGTCCTGGTACAAAAAAGAAGGTGTAGGATAGACGTGAAAGCGTGACGGACGTTTTTGAATACAAATTTCAAGACAAAATTCGAAGAATAACGAATTAATCCCCTGCAAGCTGCTCGCAGCACTTCGTACTGCTATCCCAGGATAAGCAATTCATATATTATAAGCCCGCTCTAACGGCTGGTAATCAAATGACTAGAAAGGTTCCTTTTCTTCCAGCTTTCTATTTCATGTACATTCCTATCGATATATCGACTTTGGTATTGTAGATTGAATTTATAAATTTAAGAAAGTTTTGTTCCTAGGATATTTTTCACTACAATTGTCTCATTCATCATAATTTGTAAACTTGCGCTGTTTTAGTAGCCCCTCGCGAGTGATGCTTTTATGGGCAAAATTGCATAGTGAAGGCACTTTACTGAAATCTGGATAATATTGATGCCAATGGGTAAGTTTTTTTAGTGGTTAATTAGCGTACCCATTCTTTTTTGCTTTTGGAGTTTCTCGAATTCAACTCCACCCTTTCGCAAAAAGAGAAACCCATATATGGCGCTTCGCGAACTCCAGCATGACTTGGCTCCGGGCCCTGAAGAAGAGTGGTTCGAGCAAGTGTGTTTCGTACAAATACAGTGTCATGGTTATCACGACAGGAAGCTCAACATTGAAGACTAAGCCGCAAGAAGCACGTTGTTCTCCAACTTTCCGGCTGCAACACTGTTCAATTCATACTTTAGGATTTGACTTCGATCTCTCAGATGGCAGCTAGACTCTACTACTTCAAGCTGCCATTCAACATCAACCATAGCTAGACGAAGTTCTCCATTTATATTCAATTCTTTCTCAAATTTGCTTTCTAGCACTCAATTCGAGTCTCAACAATCGCGTATAACGTGACATACAGTGGTAAGAACACTAGCACCTGTGAGCAGAGAAAAAAAGTGAGAATATTAATCGGCCAACTGGTCCTGGCCAGTTTCTGATGCCTCTACTGGATGCCCAGCGGCACAACAATGAAGTGCACCTGTTTCAAGACACTTTGGAGCTGGCGAAGCATACTGAAACAAACCCGTCAGTTGATAATCAAGTGGAGACAAGTTGACACTTTTATCAGTTCAATTGCGGTTGCTACAGAACAGACTGCTGCTGAAGGAGACAGCGCTCTACCGCCTCCCTTCCTAATGTCAGACCTCTTAACTACCGAGTCGTTTAAGAAAACGATATTTCATCACGTTCGTCAACGGCCAGTTATGTCACGTTTACACGCTTGTTGAGACTCAGTTGAGCTGCTGAAGCCAAAATTCAGAATGAATTGCAAGTTTAAGCTGCCATTGTCGAATATCTCCCTCGTCTTGAACTTGCCGTACTTTAACCTTGAAAAACATCAAGTTGCAGCTTGCACGACAGACCTGATCGCTGGCACATCTTAAAGTATGCTAAACACGTAATTGTCGACCCATGCAGTTGGATGTAGAGAACCATAAAAAACGCCGTGTTGGTTCAGAGCGTTCTTAAACTTGAAGTCGTGATTACCATGACAAGTTAAGCTTGGAACCACGACAATCCATGCGAAAACGAAGAAGTGATGTAAACTGGTGGGATACTCGGTCACTTAAATTTCTATCCGTGGATTAAACATGTTATCGATAAGTGTTGCCGCTTGCCTGTCTGTTCTTTCAAAGCCCTGCACGGATAAGCTCAAGCTACTGGATCTCCTACCTCCAAGTTAAAATCTATTAGACATCCTACGATAAGCAGTTTTTAATGACTGATAAACCATTGTCGAAGCTTAAACATTTCTAGCATCGATGTCCAAACGGTGTGGCGATCAGACGAAATAGTAGAATAACATAGACTTGGCACGAAACTCATTTAGTTTTATTGAGGTTCTGAGATTTTTTTTGGACGTGATAGATCTTGAAACACACACTCGCGTGGCTTGTGCTATATTTCTTTAGCTTATTCTTCATTATTCTTCACCCCCCCCCCCCCCCCGACCAAATGTTAGTAGCTTCCATTAGCGAGTATTATGAAAAATAGCAATAATAACTGTAGTATCTTACGGTTTAATGATGCAGTATTTACCGTTAGTGTAAAAAGTGAAGTGTGTCGAGGGTAGATTTGGATGCTCTGTAGAAAGTTTGCAATGAAGACGCTTGACAATGCCCGCGAAACCCGGCATATTGTCCCGCAGAGTTGAGCCAAAAACCTTCATAAATAAATATCCTCTTCGGTAACAACCGTCAGTAAACTAGCAAATATAGATATTTTAAGAAAGCAGTCTCTTATACCTGCAAAACCCGATCATGAAAGTAGTGCCGTGAATCAGGGAGAATAAGTACATGTATTTATTCTCCCTGATTCACGGTACCGTCGGTCACTCATTCGAAAGTGTGAAGGCTAAAGCGAGTCGTTGACGAGGTATGCAACGGAGATTAATGATCCTACGCTCAGCTGGACGTCTTGCGCCCATTGCCACAAGGTGGCTGCAAAGTTGGATTGGATGGTTTAGAAAAAAATGCACAATACACCGGAAGGAACGTTTCTAAGACATACGTCCCGCTTTACAACGTTGTGGCTAAGATGCGCCCTCAAGAGAACGGTGCGGGCGTCGACCACAAGAAGGTGATCAACTACGATGACGTGAACGAGTTCTTCTGGAGAGACTCGCGCTAAACCGCTGAGAGAGGCTTGTAGAGTTCATTCAGCAACCCTTAAACCCCTTGAATAGGTTGCTCTCGAGCTGAACATGCTTCACCGACGACGTACTAGCAGCATCCGCAACTTTAGCGACGACTTCGTTCACGGTCCAGCAGTGTACCAGAAAAGGAACTCGCGTCGGATCCATCGGCAGTAAGGGAGCCAGTCGCAGCGTCCTGATCTTCGTGACTTGAGCTACCCTCTGCGCCCTCCATGTCTTCGTATGTGGTGGGAGAAGGAGAGCAACGTAATTTATTCTGTAAAAAAAAACCAAATCGCTCGGTGCTCGAAACTTCAATTAAGTACGATATTGGATGGTCAGACTTTAACGGCCGATATCACAAAACGAGCGAAAGGTAGGTAAGAAACATTTTGTATCGTGGGGTCAGATCTAGAACTTGCGTGAAGACCCGACTTCCTTAAGAATGTTTGTCGCACCGCAGCAGAGCCAACCAACGCGAATTTATCATGACCACCGATCATTTCCTGGCCTAGATTGCCCAGTTGGTAACCTCCATATCGACCAAGTTTCCTGATCTGACCACCTTTTCGTTTTGCCCCGTACGCAACTTGTGTGTCGCATCGCATTAGACGCCGATAATGATAAATTGGTGGTACAACGTTACCTCAAGATAAGACCAACACACCAACAGATGTAAGCGATCATTATTCAACAATTCAACATTTCAAGGTCCGGAGAGTCGTGGACCAGTACTTCACGGGAAACGACCCAACCAAACCCACTGTAAGTCTTGAATTTGCCTATTTAGTAAGAGTCTATATATTTTTTCAGCTAATATGCCAGCACGACTCAAGGCGAATACAGCGGGACGTTCACTAAGAACGTGATACGAAATGAGTAGTGACGAAAATCTTAGAACGACAGGTGCTGCAGACCCCGAATCGTAGTGAAGCGACTAAAAACAAACTTAACCTACTGTAGCCCAAACCACACCCTATTGGACTACCTGAGTTTAACGAATGTCATCACAGTAATGTCGTGGACAGAGTCCATTTCATATTGCGCGGTTTGTTTGAAATTTCCGGGGACGGTTTTTTTCAATGATCGGACCCCAAAAAATGGTTCCACCAATCGTCCAGCCCATCCTGTGTCCTTTAGAGTTCCTCTTAAGTACGAGATACTATTTTGACTTGTGGCGAAAGACAGCTACCGTAAAACTTATGTGCAAACGGACGTTGGCCATTTACGGACACCTTGACAGTGACCAATCAGCGATCGATTCGATCACAGTACAATTTGGTAATTTTATGAAAGTCATGGAAGGGGGCTATTCACACTAGCCAGTCAATCACCACGCGTCTGCCATGGGGAGATCCAAGCCACCAGGCCGGCCTCGAATAACCGGGCAAGGAAGAACTAAGCCGACACATAGACGGAGGTGTACCACTAACAGGCTAAAGCTAGAGATTGTCGAGTACTTTTTCGAGTGCAACAAGCGCATGCAGAAGACTGTAGACAAGTATTTTAGCACTTTGAGCAGCAAGTCTAAGGACTCGAAGCGCAAGCTAATTTATACCTGGATTGAAAACCACGAAACCCTGAAGCTGTTATGTGAAGACCCCAAAACCGCAGACCTCAAGTACTTAAGACCCGTTGGTGTGGCTACCATTCTGTCTGCCGAGGCCGAACAGGAGCTCGTGGGCTGGGTGAACATGCTACGAAAAGATGGCGTGCCTGTGAGTGGGCCTATGCTAGAGATGCAAGCACTTGAAATCGCCGCGGAACATGATGTTCTAGGGTTTAAAGCTTCGTGGCACTGGCGGAAGGGGTTCTTGCGTCGCCATCAACTCAGTTTACGAGCTCGAACACGTCAAGGACAGATTGCGCCAGACGACGCTAACGACATCGCGCTAGGCTTCGGCATTCAGGTACAACATTTTGTCGCCTCTCCCGTCCACCTGTGAGGCCGCACCAACCCCACTTCTTCCTGATATCCCGGTCGACATGTTTGAGGCGTTAAAGAGGGCATGCTTAGTGGGTGATAAAGATAAAGATCTATCATCCGACGACGACCTGGCTGACGACAGCGAAAGCGACGGAGAAGACAATGAATGAATAATCGGAAGCAATACAGAAGTAGATAATCAGAAGTTAGAAGTGTGTGTTCTTAACATTGGGTCAAAAATGTATTATTCGATACTTAAAATAAAGTCAGTCCTCAAAGATATGTGTTATAGATGGGTCAAGATAAATACGACTTGTCCGTTTGCACATAAGTTTTACGGTATTTAGCTCTCTGTCCATTATGTTAATAGCATGGATTTTGTACATCGTCGACGTTGGCTCAGGGCTCAAATAGAGCTAAACTGGCAAATTTTGGACAGAATTCACAATATTACTGAACAACACGGAATTACTGCAACCAACGGATTAGATACAATCGCCTTACAAATCATTAAATTGTAGCCAATCATATCACGGAAAGAGGTCAAATCTGCTCAAATGTCCGTATTATGAAATGTTTAGAGCATCTCCAACGCGGGGACCCCATCCTAAACCTCAAAATGAATGTTTCTTCAGTTTAAGGTATAGACCTCTAATCGCGACCTCAAATATGCAGAATTTGATGCCCAAACCAACTAGACCCCAAATAAAATACGGAAGTGACTAGTAATTTGTTCTTGTTTGAAGTCTCAACCTCATTTTGGGGCCTCCGTTGGAGAAGCTCTTAGCGTTACTTATCAGCCAATAGATATTACGACTCTTCGGTGGGTGCGACTAGCAGTTGAACGCTCGACGGTTAGTTAGACTCAGTAGATGTATTGTGGCATTCATTTTTTGGGGGGAAAACGGAGGGTCCGAGATGGGAAATAGAGGGTCCGAGATCATGTCTGACTCAAAAATAGATATATATCTTACCTGAACTATATGTAGGGATGGGGTTATTTTTCTATAAAAGGTCTCTTTTAGATGCCACTGTCCGTTTTGCCGACATTCACCGGCAAAAGTGAGCGGCTGGCTACTAGGTCTCAAGCCACCACTTGTCAAATAGCTCTTGCAGCCACAAAGCCATGACCTACTCTGATGACTTTCGCTGTAGGGTCGTCGTTTTGGTTCACGTCTACGAAGTGTCTATCACGTTGCATCGCTCCTTGGGCCCAAAGAGCGAACAATTCGTCGGTGGTATGCTCTCTTGCTAGAGTGAGGGACGGTCAACGAGCACAGTGAGCGAGAGCAGAAAGTGCGATGGCTTGCAAACGTGCTAGCCTCTGTTACCAAGTATGTACAAGAACATCCAACTTTCTACATTGAGGAGCTCCGTGAACATTTTATCGAGCAATTCCCGACACTTCCAAATGTATCGTCATCCACTTTGTGTCGCGGCTTAAATTTCGATCTCAATTTGATTCGCAAAGTGTTGGAAAAGGCTGTTCGTGAAGCCATTCCTGCTGAAATTCAAGTTTACCGACAAAAATTGCTGCCACTCTACTCTAATCCGGAACAACTAGTTTTTCTCGACGAGACGGCTAAGGACAGACGTCAGCCTCCACGAGCCCTTCCATGAGCCTGACCAACTCGAACCACTAGTGTTGCCACAGCGCGCTCAGGCAGTACCCGCAAACCATCAGCGGCATCACGAATAGCTTCTACTGACAACCCCGTAGTCGCAGTAACGCCTCGAACCGCGTCAACGGTTTCTTCAAACGAGCGTTGTTGGCTTCTTGGATATTATTCATGCTTCACGGCAGTAGGGGGAGATGAGAAAGCTGCCAAACGTATACTGAGTACGCTAGCACAGGTAAAAAGAACAATGGTAGATTGTTAAGATTAGTTTAGCAAAATATATAGGCCACAACCGACCAACCTTAATACCACCTGGCAACACCTCTTCGGTAATTATTGCAGGCACACCAGCTCCAGCCTGTACCTCTACATCTCTCCACCGACTCCTTGCTCAACTCGTACTTCTAGTTCGTTTTCACGGTCGCGTCACCTGCCGATTCGGATTCCTCCGCGACCTATGACTACCTGTGGAAAGCCAAGGCAAACTTGACCTCCTTAACGCCCACCGTCTTCTCCTAAGAGGCGACGACGAAACGGCCACTTCACTGCTTAAGGCTCAGCATCGAGTCCACCGCCAGCTCTCCGTCGTCTCACAGAGTGGTCGCTCTCCTTATTAGCTCTCTCCGTCGTCTCCGTCCACCACATCCAACTCCATCCGCCTCGGTCGACCCCACCCTCCTTCACCTTGATCAAGTTCACGTTGTTCATTTCGGCCGAGTCCACCATCTTCTTGTCGCACTCACGCACTTCTCCCCTCTGTCGAGGTTGCTGAGCGTGGAACCCGCTTAGCTTTCTCGATTAAGCTTGCCTTCAGCCAGCAGTCCACAGCCACCACGATCTTCCCTACACTCTCTGTCTCTTGGTCGAGTTTACCAGCACAGGCTTCCTCACGGTCTCCGTCTTCTCCTTACCCGTCTCCACTGCAAGCGTCGTTCGCACCTGCTGTCTTTCGAGTTCACTCCACTTTGTTTTATAATAGTTGAGGGTGAGGCCAAACCAGGGAGAAAGGTCCAAAATAAAATAGTATGGCTCGACTCAAAGCCCGAAATATAAAACAGACTGGTCCGAGATAGGCAGCTAAAACCGACAGCAAAAATCGTGAAAGTCACAATAAGACAAATCCTCTGATAATGGAGAATTCTGATCGGCTGCAGGAATTCTGTATTGTCCGATATTATCACTGGTCTTTAAGGTAATTACAGTATTTATTGTGTATATTTCTTGCAGAATACTCACTATAAAGAAGTACATAACACCTAGTCATCAAAATAAGCCAGCGAAAAAATACAAAGGATCTATGCCGGGTTCCCCGGCCACTGCGAGCCGGCAGGCGAGCTTACCAATTCGCTTTGGTATCTTCGCAGTGGTTTTGATTGGGTGGCAAATTGTCGCTTAACCCAGGTATTTCCAAAGAGGAAAGTTTATTAATAAGAGAAACTAACGCGTAAGAAAGCTGCTGAACTACGACTACCTCCTGCGTCGTCCAGCCTGTACATCATGCAATTGTTGGACGCGTGCCAACGTTCACCTGCTCAGCTTGCAGTGTGTGGCGAACCCAATCGATCTGCGTGGAGGCACCCTCCTAGTGCTGATAGGCACTGCGGCAGGCTCCTCACGCTCTCATTGTTGTCGCCGAGGCTCGGCACCGTCGCACTGGACTTCAACAGAGCCCGATCTTGATCTCTTGCCGTAATCCGGCGACACAAATGGAGTAAGACGAGGCATGCCCCACGATGCTCATTTCAAATGTCGTCATGAAAAAGTCCTAGAGTAGATTCGACAGACCAAATCTGTGGGGGTGTACACACTTAATTCGTTTGGTTAGCGAACGGTTATCTTCTCAAAACAAACACTGATTAAGTTTTTCATTTATCTTGTTGAGATTTGTGTAGCCATTCGAGTCGAAAGCTGATGTTGATACCGGTCGTGATATTTTGCAATATTGTATGAGATTTTTGCAACGGCAACGCGAATTATGCAACGTACTAAAACGGGCGAGTTTGAACGACAGTAAAATCATCATCGTAAAAGACAGCTTTGCTCGGATCAAATTCATACATGTTTCAAGTACGAAGGCAACCTGATACAACAGTTGAAAGCAAATTTGCGCTGTAAAAACAGACCCAGCTTGTGAAATGACGCGATTTCTAATGCTGCAAACATCAAGTTGTTCACGATGTCCGCCGATTTCCAGTGCCATCATGATAGATAACAACATTAATGCCATCAAGCCTGAAATTTCTTACTGAATAATCACGTTTCCTGAATGTTAGGCTTCCCTTTCCGTGTGGACGGTTGGGCGAAACTGATAGCAACGAAATCGCAGAACTTGACATTATACATGAAGGTCTGGTCCTGTTGTCTGTAGTAGCGCAAGTGCACCGTGTACAACATGAGGAAGGAGAATGGATGAGCGTTAAAACGATGCACCGAAGATTTAATTGCTACGCTATGCTTTCGTTATGAAGTCCATGGCACTAACTCTACACGGGCCGACGTCTCCACCGTTGATGTATGTGAAAAATTTGATGACAACCATCTTCTTGACAATAAAGTTGAATTTTTGTGAGCTAGTGACTCGTTTGTTTATATTTTTCGTCCTTCCAAAGCACCCACCAACATGGAATTTTGATTTACTGTTATGCTCGGAGAGCTCGCGCGATTTTAAGACAGTGTGTTCGAACATTGTTTTTATCCAGACAGCTACAGAAATGACTATCCATCTACAGCGCAGCCGAAGAATGTCCCAAGTGGAAGTGGTTAATGTATGCGCTCTTTTCAAACGAGCCCGTCCCGTACCTCTCTGGAAACGATAACCTACAGCAAGAAACCATCGTATGAACGCTGCAAATATGGAAGGATTCATAGCGGTACTGACATCTGACCCACCGGGACGAACATGTAAGGTGGACTCCACCGGGTTTGGTTAGCGAGGGAAATGCCACATTGGAGGCAGGAGCACCTAGTCGATAGTAATCCGACAGCGAGGGGCAGCACGGATTCCCAGCCTCTGAGCTTTCGACACTCAATACTTGATGTGCGTACCTTCGTTGATATTGGTACTAGTGAATGGATTGATGTTCCTGCTCCTGAGTACGGGCAATGTCAAGTACGACGTGTAGATTTGGATTTTGAGGAGTGCGATCAGGTAATACCTGATTGTTGCGAATAACTTCGTTTACTGGCTAGTTCCCAATATCCTCGATTGGACCTTCTCTCGCTCTGAGTAGACCACGGAATACTACCGAGAACTTGATTATTCCCTGCAGACATTGTTGCTTTCAGTGCCTTTATTCTAATGTTATCTTCTTGTAGTGAAGGTGTAGGAATGAGTGCGTTTCGTTTCGTTGCAGATGCAGATGCATCATTGGAATTATGTGATGACCAAAGTTTGGTCATCACATAACTTTGGTCATCACATTCACATAATTCCAATAATTTCGACCGCGTAAACATTCTCAGAAACGTAATCTCCCTTGCGCATCATTTACGGTTTCGTTTAAGCCCCGTAATCTGTGAACCTGGCACATTGCTTCAGACAACACTGTGGAATTTCCTGAGAGAACGACGACGTCTAAGAGTCCAACGAGTCCACATGCACGCGCGCTTCTTCCTTATCCTCCTACTTCTGGTGAGTGGTTGCTTTGCGCTCAACAGAACATGGATGAAGGGCCTGGACCAACCCGGAGCTAATCGTCTCTTCGAGTCTAGCTTATCGTCTGAAAGCAAGGAACCTGCCTTAAAAAGACCCCTGAATTCCTATGGCAGAAGTAACGGTGACAATATCAAGGTTGCAGGCGAGCTCATGGAAGCGAGGACAGGAATAACTGGATTGCCAACATTTGAGAAGTATCTACTAAGAATTGCAACGAAGATGCAGATGACACCGGAACGTGCTTTTGAGAGATTTGTACTCGTCAAACGCTTTAGTGGGGAGATGGAGAACAACAAGGGTTTAATTCTGTGGCTTCAGTACGCGAATGTGTACAGAACTACACGAGGCGAGCTTCTTCTCGGTAACAAGAAGATCTATGAGTTGTTGAGACAAAGTAACTCGGAAGAAGAGCTGGCGACGCTTTTTCATTCTCTTCGCCAAGTATCTGGGATGGAAAATTTTGCGGACGAGATGCAGATATTTATGATCTTGAGCTCCGCGTCCTCCCGCAAACTCGCGAATGAGGCTTGGCTGAAGTCCCAAGAAACGCCGCAGGAAGTTTATAGAATTTTGAAACTTAGAGATGAGGGTCTCGACAGCAGTCCTCTGTTTCTTCAGTGGCTCCGATACATCAAATTGTACAAAGCCCACGCGGAAAAGGATTTACCACCAAACTTGCAACCATTCTCTGACCTACAAGCGCTCGAGTTCTTGATGAAAGAAAAGCGGTCAGTTCTCAAAATTGGGACGCTCTTGCATACTGTCAAGGGCATTGAGGATTTAAACGTGCTTGCCACAAACTTGCAGCTCCAGCTCTTCAATCACTGGAAGCAACTCAAAATAACCCCGGAAAAATTACAGGATCTTTTGGACGACAGCTTTCACATCATTACTTTCTCGAAAAGTGGCCCCGGACGACCGACGTACAGAAATTGGAAAGCTTACTCCAACTACTACGATGCTAAATCCTAGAATGGATATGCCCAATTGGAAATGAGAACTTCCCTTGGTCATTTGCAGACTCTCCAGGTATTAGCGATTGGCATTAATTGCCTATCGTTCGATTAATTTGCAATAGGATCTACGCCTTCGCCTTTCTTTTGATATGTGTCCGTTTTGCTATTGTTGTCAGCGACATACATGTACCGTCGGTGTAGAGGTATGAACTGGTAAAGAAGACAGACCCCCCCCCCCCCCACACACACACACACACAGGGTAAGCCATTTTTTACTGTAAGGAACTTACGAAAACTCAACATTTTTCTTCGAGTTGTTTTATCAATTTATCTCGACGGAGATTTACGATCACAACGAATTTCACTTTTTATTAGTGGTTGGTACGATCAAATCTAGCTCCATCGCCACGAGACTGCGGCTATTTGCGTCCGAATGTACGTAAAAGAGTGAAGAGAAATACTCCATAGAGATACTTACGACAACCTAGAAAACTAGAAAATTAAACGCTGCCGTTAGTTTGAATTTTAATAAATACAGTTGCGAAGCTTCTTCAGTATCTACTAAAAATAAATAAAAAGATGACATAGACCCTATTCTTCTGTATTATGTATTTGTGCTGTAGGCGAGTGCTTCTTATGGTTCTCTATTGGCGACACCATTTCCATCGCCGACACATCCATTCAAGAACAGCATTTACGACCAGCAGCCTTGATCTAATGGATAATTGCGTGCCAGTATTATGGTCTATGTGTACTACTTCGAAGTTTCGTTAGATCGATGGAATGTCCAGAAATCTAAGAGAACATTAATCGAACTCCAACGAAAAATAACACAATTTCGACTGGGAAAGAAATATCGTTAGGAGTTTGATTTCGATGTAAGCTCTTCCAAAACATACAAGAATCGCCACAGCACGTTGCGTGCAGAATCTTGTCAGAGTATGCAGCTCGCCGCACCTTGATATGTTGGATTTCTGTTGCTGCTGGTTCAAAGCGACGATGCTGCAAGGTTCGGAGGTGAATCGCTTTTGCGCGGCGAGAAAATTCTTCGATACCTCGTTTCTTAGCAATTTGTTGTTCTCCATGACACGGCATATTCTAAAAGAAACTAACTGCAGTCACGTTTGACTTTGGACCCCCCCCCCCCCCCAATTTCACCTTAGATGATAGCTACTTCGAAAGATGGCCCTTGGTCCATCCCATCATGCCTTTCAACATATTGAACCAGTTGCTAGCGAGTGCCTTCGTCGATCATACCCGAGGGACTCGTGTTCGTCTTCACTTTCCACAAGTTCACCATTTTCTTGGCTACCTGATCTCTGACATAGTGCCAACGTAGTTCGTTTGGGCCGTGTCGAGCGGCTGTGGGTCGTGGCCATCATGAACACGGTTTGGTATTGATTCGTAGTCGAACTCGTTGTTGTTACGTGTGAGAAGTCTTCAATCAGCACGTTTCGCCAAATACTGCAACATTTTTCTGCTTCAGCTGTCGACTGCAATACGGAAGTGAACTATGCAATGGCACCTCCTGCCCATGCAACACACGTAGCCAGTAAGCTTTTCATGGTTCCCCTAATCTGACTCACTGAAGCCTTCGACGACTTTGCAAGCTGCTTGGTTTGGGTACCGTGCTAGCTGAGTCAGCTATTCATTGACAGTCTGTATCACTAAGGTACCACAATACACGTTTGGCTACACCAATGTTCTGCTTTGTCGGGCTCTACACGTATCTGCTCAGTTGCCCAGCCAGATACATATGCAAGATCTGGTCCGGTGCATGTCTCCAGGTATACCACCTATACAATGAGCTTATGGTACTGAAATACCTTGCCGTTGGGCAGCGTCTGGTTGCGCTAAGCAGTATCCGTGTTATTCACCTGAAGTCGGATCATAGTTTCCACCGGGATCCTGCGAGATTGCACATCTTCAGGGTTTAATCGCTCGATATTTTGCTCAGTCTGATGGATCTTGATAGAGTGTCCGGCAAAGTGACCGGGATTTAGACCAATAAAAATAGTTTTAACTTTTTTTCAGTTTGATTCGCGATTATATATAGACGACCAATCCACATTGCGACCAGTCAGCGAGCTTAGCAGGTTTCAGATCATTACTGGCTTTTTTTTAATGCCTTACGAGACTTGTACATAAGAAATACTACAAAACTAAGTGTGAACTAATTGGAACTAGGTAATTATCTCGCTTAGCCAGCTCGTTCCACTGCGACCAAATCTAACCAAGCGAATCCCATCTGTTCCAAAGGTTTGAGGGCATTCTCGTTAAATTTCAGAAAATCCTCGGGCGAAGCACGACTTTGTTACGATAATTGACAGGTTCGGATCAAACGTGCCATAATCGTACATACCATAATCTGGTGTTTTTGATCCAGACAAATACATTGTACTGTTGTTTATGAACGTGCCGTAATCGGGCATCGTAATCTCTTCCCCCATTGTTATACTCCAATCAAATAGAGGCAACGAATTGTCAATTTTGACAGCTGAGCTACGCGACAATGCACCATCGTCAATTCATATAATAATATTTATTTTTATTTTGAAATTGGGACTGATCACCTTGTAAGCCGAGATTACGGCTTAGCTAGACTTATAAGCCCTTATTTAAGTTGTTGTTAGCTCTCCTACTTCAATTCCAATCTTGATTTTTCGATGGTAAGAGGTAGCTTACCAGAATCAGCTCTCAACGGCAGAAGCACCTCGAGTCACGGACTCTGTGACGGAGTGTGGTTGATGCAAGCCTTGTCTCACCATTGATCGTATTGTTGAGAATGGTTGCTGGCTCAACCAATGATACAGTACATGTGCCATGATCACCCTGACGTTCAGCGCGAGGTTCGTACATAAGATTTATGAGTTGGAGAACAGGTGTATTATTGCCTTCCAACTCGTTCCACGTTCTCATTCTCCAATTCGCTTTCTCAACCTCAAGTCCACAACACTATTGGTATTTCGCCAAAGACCATCCATGCGTGTCTCTTTCGCCCTACTTTTAGCTACTACCCTTCTGGCCAACGGAGAGACCGCGACCACGAGCTCCGAGACCATGCAGCTCACTGATGCGGTGCACTCGGTGGGAGTTATCGAAGCTCGCGACGGTCGCCGCTTTCTTCGACTTGCAAACCCGATCAAAAACGACGATGTTGAAGAAAGAGCATGGGCAACGATTAAGGGGATTTCACGCACGAAGGCGGAAGCAGTGGAAAACTGGCTGACACCCCGGCTTCAATCGAGATGGACCCCGGAGAAGCTCGCTAAAAGCGATCTGGACATAGTTGCGAAAGAAACAGCAACGGAACATGAGAACTGGAACGCTCTAGTGAAGTACGTGAAGATGCTTGTTTTCGATGTCACCAAGCAAAAGATATCGAAGAAGGAAGCTAAGGACCTTATACTGACCAAGATTCTAACTCAAGCAAACGGGTTTTAATACCTTGAGGCATTTCGTAACAAAAAAGTGAGATCTAGTGAACTGAAGCGACAATCAGATAAGCATTACTCTTTTTCCAGCTCTCAATTACATCGGGTATTTTACTTATACTTCGAGTACTCGCGAGAAAAAAAGCACCAGTGGAGCTCATCCAAAATCTATAAAGATGTGGAGTGCTAGGTTGTCTGAGACTTACACTGTGAATGCAAGTCCATACTATGCGATGAAATTATGATTCAGATCGTGCCCGTACCATTCTCCAACCGAAATTGGTGTAGGTCAGTTTGTGGTTACGTCAAAATTCGGGAGAAAGTTTTGCAGTGATCTATTTTTACCACCCACCCGACTAACTATAGTCTAAACGCAGCACATGAACGTCGATATTCGCGATGTAATGGGCGTGATTAATTCACTCAACTATCCACGTCATGAGCAAAAGTATGTTTGGAATATGTCAATTTCAAACATTTTCTTTCTCCTTCTTTATTTAGTAAACTCATTTTTTTAGCTACATTAAAACACCTTCTCTGACTTCGAATAGAGCAAAATTCGACAGGAGTCGTGTAACCCCGTCGTAATTTTCTCAACTTGAGCTAAAATACTATTTTTTAAAAATTAACTCCTGTGGAGAGCTTGGGGGAGAGCGCGCCAAAACAAAAGTGCCGCTTCCGCAGTTCAGACGGATGGAAGCTTCTAGAAGCTTCCACAGCCGGACGTAAACCCATAAAGCTTCTGCTAGCGCTGTGGCTCTGTGAATTGGACGGTGCTGATATCTCGTGCCGAGTAGCTACGTAGATACGTAAATTTGGAGGTCAGCTGCAATATATAGGTAGTTTAAGGAGAAGCAGAGCATCAGCTTACATCAGCTCGAAGCTACGATTGAGGCCGAGCAGGTAGAAATTGCAGAAAATCTCACTCGGCTCCAGCTGTCCTAGAGTACGGAAACCGTCGAATGCGGCTCAAAACCGTTCCCAACCGATGCAGCCGCATTAGACATAACAGTGCGGTGCGGCGCGGCCGGTTGAGAATGAGCCTAAAAATAAATATAATGTCTGTCTGTCCGTCTGCCATGTCACGCTTTTCCGAACTTTTGATTGATTGAATAACACATATCGGTAAAGCTGAGAAGTTTCTAATTGTGGGATAGTCCCGTGAAGATCTCTAAATGAGGGGTCCTACCCGATTCGAATGGTCTCGACTTTTGTAGTACAGGACGGCCGACGCAATGAATTCCCAAATAACCGTTAGTCTCGTATTTTTTGCAACTAGCCAAAAACAAGAGATTAAGAATTCTAAAACAGCAAGGTTACGGTACCTTTTCGGTTGGCGTAGACTTGCATATTATACTCGATTTCAGACTGAGAGATTGAGCCACCTGCCCACACTTAATCTGTGGAGATGTTCAGTATTTACATGGCGTCACCCTGGTATTTCGATGGACAGTTTTAAATACGATAAATGATCCGTATTTCGCCCCGTAGATCACCGAGAAGCATTACAGTCGCTCTGTCATTCGGGTTCTTGCCACAACGAGCCCAAACAGTTTTAATCCCTATTTTTGCTAGCATTTTCTTAGAGAGACATTCGAAACAAGAAGGTGCATTATTTAAAAATGTAACAGCGAATAGTAGCAAGAATTTGTTGTTTGAAGAAACAAAGAACCTGTCTGATCTACAAAAATGTGTGCTGCACCGATCTCAGTCACTTTAGCTTTCACTACTTTTGTAAAAGTTTCAGCAACTTATGTAAGTTCTGGAGATTGAGCTTGCCCTTGCCGTGTCTTGGAGCGAAGCGATTGACGTTGGCACTGTTTTGCTGTTGTGAACTTGCCCTAATCGCGCCTTGCAGCGAAGCGATAGATGATGGCGTAGTCCCGCCACCACCGCGGCCCTTTGAATTACGTGATGTCAGGAAGGATAGTAACGCCTTGTGCGCCTGAATACGCAACATCGTAGCTGTAACAGGTACGCCCTCCTGCCTCAGTTGTTTACCCACATCACTAGTTTTGTATCGTCGTTTTTTGGACAAAATAATTCCCAAACCCACGCTGTGTGTTTTGCGCTTCCTAGCGCCTCACTTTTGACTGCTAAGTTCTTCAATCTTATAACGGTAACGGCCATGACATAATTAATGATCGAAAACGTTCACTTTTGTCTGGTGATAGTAAGTCAGGATAGAAGCACTTAATTGTGGATTTCATGTTATTTTGCTGTGCATAAAAATCTTACCTATTAAGTATCACTTATGCTGCATAAATCGTTTCTGGAATATTTTGCAGCGCGTCCATTGCCGCAAGGTAGACCCTCTCGCCCTTTCGGTCGTCTCGTTTAGTCTAAATCCGTCGAATTACAGAATGAGATTGTTGGACGTGGGTGACTGCAGTATACGATGATACAGGGTCCACAGTAAGTTGGCACGCTTTGCTAATTAAGACTTCAGATTAGCTAACAATGGAGTGTATGTCTTAGTATAGAGTTCGTAAACAAAGAACAACCATTCGAGCATTTGTTACGGATACTTTCAAGTACCGACATTTATCAGTCGCAAGGCACTACTTGTCATAAAGGTAAAGTATTTTTTTTTTTACCAATACTAGGTGTTTTTGCGTTGGCTGTGATGACTGTGGAAATAGCGTGAAAGTTTATTGTTTTGCTAAGCTTAACGTTAGGATGTGCAAAATGGGTTTTCGCGTGTATTGTCCTGTTCTCAACTAGACGAGCTATTCTTAACCAACTCTGATTTGACCCTGGTGTTTTCTGTTCAATAGCCCGCTTAACTAACACCCTGGGTAGACTCAGATATCTGCTTTATGGTAATAAAGGGAAAGCGTGAGAGCTAATTCATCGGTGGGTACACCCGCTCAAGAATAACAGGCTCACACCACTGATGTAGACAACATTTTGATTTGCATATCTAGTTGCGCGACAACGCCTAGGAAGTGGCGCTGCTGTGGTGAGCTTGCTCAGCATAGTTTTATATTATTTTTCATTTGGAAATTCTCTGAATATTTATATTCAGAGTTTTAGGGGCAATCGCGGACCGTCGAAGATCCTATATAAATAAATAAAGCGTACCCATCAGACCTTCGAACTTAGCGTAGATTAGGAAAATTCAAATTATAAAACGGAAAACTTTATAACCCGTCTTACGTTTATTCAAAATCAGCGAATGTTGATCCAGTCGGTAAAAAGCGACCTTCGCACAACATTCCTTATACCGAAGCTTGATTGGCTGAAAAATTGATTTTCACTTAGAAGTGGCAAGTTGCCCTCGGCTGCCTTGCTCAGCAACAAACTTACGTCCACTGGTCACGTCAAATAAACTACAGTAGTTAAACTAAACGCTAATACGCAAATATTCAAAGCTTCTCCGGGCACGGCACGGCATTAGTGATTATACTCATCATGTTGAGTGCACTCAATTTCCAAATATTTAAAAAAAAATCGCTAAATACACGGCGCCTAATGCTGCAATGGTAATGGAATTTGCCTTTGGAGCCAAGATGGAAGTATTTACCGTCAGAATTCACGAGTATCCTCTAGGGGCAAGTGATGTCTTAACCCTTTTGGTCAATGGCGGCATTTTGTCCCCTTTGGAGAGTGTGTCCTCGAGTACCACTTGTGCCACCCATGAAAGGGGGCAACATGCTCCCTTTCATTAAAATTTTGTGGACGAGGCAGACTCGCGCTTTCTACTTGAACTACAAGGATTTGCTGTAATACCGTAGTTTATGAAAAGGGGCAAAATGCCCCCTTTGATGGCCTAAATGACTTGACCTTCTATAGAATAATATAGCCAGGACAAAAGAACCCATTCGCGAAAGGGTTAAAGCTTTTTTTGGGACGCAGGTTATCGTACCTGACATACTGGATTCTGTATTAGTATCTTTTTGTGCTCGGTTGGATAGTATAACTTTCGTCCATAAAAAGTATTATATTAATTTTTGCATCTACTTTGTCCTTTGCGGAAAGAGGCAGTTCTAGAAGGATGACCTGTAGACACCTGGATGTGATACGCAGCAAAGCAGTTGCGCTTTGATGACGCGCAAAGTGGCAGCTTACACGCAGCACATACAACCGTTGTTTGCCGACGGCGCCATTCTTGATGCAAAGTGCGAACTAGACTCGCTGCAATTGAAAAAGAGGCAGATGCATGAGTTGAACAGGCTCTTTTTGCACACGCTCAGACCGGGTAATATGCTGCCACGCTAATTCTCTACGAAAAGCCCGATGATTTAGTGGTGTTTGCTGGCTCTGAAACAAACGCTTTGGGGGTAAATGTAGGCGATAATCATCGTAGTGTCTAACAGCCAAAAGAAAATAGGAACCCAAGTACGGTTTGAAATTAGCTGCGTCTTGTAATAAGCTCGATACTGATCAGCAATGTCAACATCATTCATGTAGTGGTTGTAGTCATCAACACAGCGTGGAATCGCAAAGGTTTTACGAAAAGAATCACCAAATTGGCGGCGTACACTAGCTTCATTAGTAGACGTAATTCTAGGCCGTTTTCGCTCACGATCAATAACCACTCACTACCCTCAACTTGGTCAATTGTAGACAATAGTTGCACAGGCCCATTACCCATCCAAAAAATCACAAGAACATTGCCCACTGCCATTGACTTTATCATATTCCAGTCATGTTTTCTGGTCTTATCGTTTCGAAATCGCATTTCTTTCGGATACATCTCCGAGTTAGACTGTGCAGTACCACAAGCACCAATGCCAGCACTACGTAAATGTTCAAATAGCGGTATAAAGCTAAAATAATTGTCCATGAACACATTAAATTGCATGTTCTGTGGTAGTTTGTTGCATAAGTGAGCTACGATACATCCAGTTGCACTCAGTCCAGCAGATTTAGGCACTGTAGTAGCAACTACGCGGGAGACCAACTCAAAAGTAAAGCAGTAGCCCTTCGAACACAGCACCATCTCCTTATATCCTTCCGAAATCGGCTTATTTTTCATTCTGACGGTATGTGCTGAGCGCCCTGAAAACCGAATCATCATTTCATCAACGCTAACAATGCTACCTGGTATGTAGAGAGCCTCAAATTGCTGTTTTAACTGGGATGCAAACAGCTCCACCGTTGCAAACCACTCAGTAGACGTTGTCTCCACAGCAGAAATATGTAAAAAAAAAAATCATCTAATTTGCTCGAAACTATCACGACTCATGCATTGCGTAAATGGGTACTTAGGAGAGGAGGGGTCTGTAGACCAGCATTCACGCGGACGAGCAAAACGATGGATTCCCATGAAAATCACAATACCAATCCACGTCTTAAGCTCGTCAAAAGTCAGTTCTTTTCAGTTATTTGCACGTTTTGACTTAGCATACGCATTAGTATAAAAAACTAGCGATCTGATCATATCTGGAGTAACAAACCGCAAAAATATTGCCAGCGGGGAGCAGTCTATCGCGGCAGCCACTCCGGCAAAGACGCCGGAGCCTGCATGAGGAGCGTACGAGTGTCGAAATGGCTCGTACAGAGGGCGGGGGCTCGTTGTGGCCTCCATCCTCGTCCTTTCTCGTCTCACAGCGGTGGGGTGGCCTATTTTATTGTGGGACCGCCTTTGATCGCGGCGCATGAGGCGTCTATTTTCCGCTTTCCTATGCTCTTTTTTGTTGCATCCGTCTGAACCTGCGCTTTTGATTGGTAGCTTTAGATTGTCAGAAAACCAAGTGGTTTTCAAAAAAAAATGGCCAATGATGCAAATTGGCATCATTCAGGCACGAAGAGATACTATACTCCCACATATACATCCCATTCCACCGAATTAATCCTTTTGGGCTGTCTATTTCAGCTAGTGTACTCCCTATATACTGGGAGTATAGTCGTCTGTATGGTTAATTACAGCTTGTAAGGGTCTAGTAAAAAGTGCCAACATCAAAATGCGAAACAAAGTAGAATGATTATACCAAACCTTGATACTTGTAGGAGGATTTTTATATCAAAAACAAAACACCTCAGTCCAATCCCATTTTTCGTACTCTGGTAGATTAAACACTAACGCATATTGCTTTTGAATCGCTTTATCCCAAGTACGAGGTTACTGGATCTATAATAGGAGCAAAAACTTCATCATATAATTTATTTTTCATGAAGTATTAATATGTTTACCTTTACGTAGACCAGGCGTTTGGGGGTGAGATTGGTAGAAATCACTTTGGTTTTACGTTGCCAAGAGCTTGACCACAACCATCCACTCCATCTCCTCCTACCTAGACACCGTCTCAACTTCTGCGATGGTGTGGGGCATTTTCGATATTCTTCAAGCTTCCAAGAAGGTATCCGACCCGTTCAAGTTTGATATCAGCAGCTACCTGCAAGACAAGCTCTCGGACAAGGGACAAAGTGTCGGCTCTGTGGAATGAAGATGCCATAAAACAGATCACGAGTGATCTACCACAAGCGTATGAAGTGCATGGGGATATCAGCAGCAGAGGAGCTGTTCTTTCATGCTAAGCACGCCCTAATGGTTATCCCGACGTGCATCCCTCTAAGCGCTGCGGTACTTTTCAGTGACAAGCGATTATCATCAAATGTATGGGGTGGGAGTTCCCTACTCGAAACCTCGAGCGGCACACTCCGCTCGATATCATCAGAGAATAGAAGCTGAGCTAAATTCCGCTTGACTTGAGTACATATCCTTGGAGGTGGCCCGAACGGACGGCTAGTTTATCGCTTGTTGCAGTAAGTGGCATAAGTTAATCAATTTGTATTGCACTCTAAGCTGGATAATTCAATTATAGCTATTGACACCCGTACTTACAGTCAGCTAGCATAGATATCACAGTTAGTTAGTATGTAGTAAATTTTACTAACAGGTAAGCGCTCTTCCCTACGTTCAGCACTAAAGTGCTTCCTATCCCAAAATTACTGTTGTTAAGATACATACGTCTAATTTGCATCAAAATGCATCTACACACAGTACGCCAGTGCGGTGTCTGTCTGTCTGAACGTCCGTGTGTTCAACGTCAAAGCCCATAAACCTATGGAGTTGCCTTGGCTTTATAACTCCTTTACATGCAATACCTCTTATTGTTTAGCCTACACCTACCTTTAAGAAATCTCTTAAGAATGCGTAATTACAAATATAGCATATTTACTAACGCGATGCTACATCCCTACTAGGCGAGTGCCGCCCGCTTTGCGGGCGGATGGGCATGGTTGGTCCCAAACCGTGGAGCTCGCTAAATTAACCAATAGGGATGTCGCAGAAAAGCGTGACCGTTAGTGGGCTATATTTGTAATTTACTTATTCCTGGACTCATTCGAGAAGGTAGGGGTAGGCTACATGATGGGTGATATTGCATGCAAAAGAGTGGTGTAGCCAAGGCAAACCCTTAGGTTTATGCGCTGAGACGTTGAACACACACACGGACGGACACACAGACAGATACCGGACTCGCCTACTGTTGGTAGACTAGCCGAGTGCCGCCCACTTTGCGGGCGGATGGGCATGGTTGGTCCCAACCCGTGGAGCTCGCTGTTCCAGCTCGCCCCACTACTACGCAAAGCCCACCTTCGCTTCGCTCGGCAGGGGTTGGAGCCTTGCTACATGTAGAGTCCCAATCTGT